CTCCCCCTATAGGCCCAGACCCCACCCCCACCCCTTCCACCCCGTATGTGACGTCTAATTTGTTCTTCTATTGATTGCATGCATAGAAATTGTGAGTGGGCAGTGTCCATGCGGTGGAGAGTGTGTCACAGTTGTGGATAGGAATGATAAATCTAAGAACATTGGCCGACAGTTCTATGAATGCCACTACTATGTAGGTTATCAGTTAGGTAATTTTATTGTAGTTTACCCAACATGTTCTATGTAGGTTAACATGTATTTGTTGGAATTTGCCCCCGATAAATGATACAATTTTTTCTTATGAAAAAATAAAACAATGATGTACTGAGTGTTCACATCAAAAAAGACTAGCAGCCAAGAAAAACAGTCCTGGATATGCACAAAGCCTCAGGTAAATGGAAAGCTATGAATTGGCACATTGGCTCATAACCATATTAATACTCTTCCGTACCGTTAGGAAGAGAAAAGATAACTGGTTTCTTACTGATAATCAGATTATGGTTTCTTCAATGTGCCTTAACTTCTTACTATTAGGTAACTTCATTAATAATGGGAACTGTTGTATTTCCGTCTTGTTCAAACCGTTAAGTTCCGTCTCTCCCTTGTGGAAATGCATAATGACATATTGTTGAGGAGATGCAAATAAATAGGGGCAAAAGCTTGGTTCAGAATCAAAGGACCCAAACAGATGATCAGGCACCCATATATAACATTTTCATAGGACAAAGGATGATATATAGGGATATATCATACAGTCCGTTCCTTCTTGAAGCTTAACCGGGTTAAATATTAGCTTGATTAGATTTTTATCGTATATATGTTTATGGAACATTCATATATTATGATGGTTGTTTATTAACAAAAGTCTATTTGAAATCATGGTATTGATACATAAGCTTCAACATTACGCCCCCTCAACTGCCTTCTATACAATGTTTTCGAATTATTGTTGATTTGGACGGTTGGACTGTTCGGATTAGAAATCGTCCAGACGACCAGTTTCGTTTTACCCCAAACTTTGTCTTTGATCAAAAATCATTGAATTAGCCAATGAACCGTTGATTCAGATAGTTTGACCGTTGAACCGTTCGACCCAGAGAATGGTTTGTGATTTATTAAATAAGAGCCAAATTCGAATGAAAAGAGAAATCTCTCGGATCTCAGATCTAAGATCTATTGGAGAGAGAGAGAGAGAGAGATCAGTTGAGGGAGATCTCAAATTTGAGATCTAGAAGACTAAGATCTAGAAGAGAAGGCTAAGAGATCAGTGAGAGAGATATGAGAGATCTAGAAGAGAGAAGGCTAAGAGTCTAGATGACAGATCTGAGACTGAGAGAAACCTCAGATCTAACATCACCGCCACTGTAGTTCATCATCGCTGTCGTCGTCGTCGTCAATGCTGCAGCCGACCTCCTCCTCCTCTTCTTCTCTCTTCTCTCTCTTCTAAACTCTCTCAGCCATCGGCAGTATCTCATTCTCAAACAGTGAAACCCTTTTCTCTTCTATTTATATGCATCTTACCCTAATATTCCAATCTAATGGGTAAGATGATATATCATTGTTAAAATACTCAAACCATCCGAACCATTTGACCTGGATGGTTGAACCACTGACCTGAAAACCAGTGGCCAGAGCGGTTCCGCTTTCGAGTCAGTTTTTAAAATCTTGCTTCTATGTATCACGTCTGAGGCTTTGGCCTCAAGTTTAGCGAGTCATGCAGCTCACAAGCTTTTGCATCAAATTAGTGAGGCACATGCCTAGCTCATGTAATTAGTCGATTAAAATGAAAATGAAGAAATTAATTATATATGATATTGTTCACAATACAAAATTTCATTATTTGTTTGTTTACCAATAATTAAAATCAAACAATAAATACCAAGAATTTTCACCTAGCGTATATCTCTTTTAAACCAAAAATATCTCTTCCTCTTCTTAACTCAATGCACGTCAAGAATCTCCATCCAGGCTGAGATGGGCTACCCTGCAGTCTTCTATTAAAAGAGTTGGAGGGAGGTGGGCCAGGAGCTAGTGGAGTGTGAGGAGGATAGCCCATCACAGCCTGCTAGTGCCTTCGAAGGCCCTGCCAGCCATGAAGTTATTAGGCCCAAGCTTGGCCATGAAATTTGCGGGTTTGATGCAAGCTCGTTCCTGGCTAGACTCAAACAATCACCCTAAGCAAATTGATTTTGGTTTATTAGATTAATGAGGAGAGGAAAGAGAATAAAATCAAAAAAGAAAATCAAAAAGGAAAATAAATGAATGAATTTTAAGCAATTTAATGGGAAAGTTGAGAGGAGAGAGAATTAGTGGAGTAAATTACTGGAGGAGGGAGATAATGGAATGACCAATGAGAAGAAATAATAAAAGGAGTTAAAGAGAAAGGGAAGAGAGAATTAATGGTGAATCAATGAGAAAAGATGAAAGTCTTAAGGACTAAAATTGATTGGCTATTTTAGCTACTTTGTTCAATTTTAAAAATAAAAATTAAAAAAATCACAAAAAAAGAATGGTAGCTAGGGAAGAAAGGAGAAGTAACAAAAATCCTGAAAATATCCTTATTTAAGCATTAGGCTTTACATATCACAAGGCTAGAGGCTTAAAGGTGTAGGCCTTAACTCTAATAATTCAACGCCTATGCATTGTTAATGGAGAGAAAGGTTACCGAGACTAGGCCTTTTTAGTCAGCCTGTTCTCAATAGCCTTTTAAAACGATGATACCGGGGGTTCTTTGTAATTTACACTAAATTTTAAGTATATATAGTTAAATTGAATCGGGATAATATCAAATCAGCTAGCGATGATTCCATATTTAATCCCATTATAAACGTTTCAAATTCAGAAACCTTAATACGATAAAATTTGAATTCAAAGTCAAATTGAGAATTTAAGACAACTAAATATCATTTCCAGAAGTGTTTGTTTGGGGTTAGGTGTGACAAGCCGCATAGTGGAGTGATATCACACTAGCTAGGGATAAATGGTCTTGTATGATTGAATAGCCAGGATCTACTGCATATCAAGGGCCATGCAACCAATTATGAGTAAATATGCCAGTGTTTTGTACAGATAAAGGTCTAAAACAATATGCCACATAGGAGTGATACCACTTGAGCCAATAACAAATGGACCTATGTGATTGAAGAGTCGGGATCTACTGCACGCACATATGTGTATCATAAGCTATTGAACCAATCATAAGAGAACATACACATGGTATCTGCTGCTCGCCATACTGTGTAAAAAGGCAATTAATCATGAGTGCACACACTTGGGTTATGTTTGGTTTGAAGGAAAAGATAGGGAAAAGAAGGTTTTTCCATTTTTTCCTTTCTTTTCCTACTTTTTCTTTTAAACCAAACCAAACGCAGACTTGGATTCAATGCTCACAAGACCATGCTCACACTGTTTTCACAACCACTTGCAGCTGTGTATTGGGAATAACTATGTTTCAATAAATAAAATACATGGTGGCAAATGACTGTAAATATGGTATGAGCACAGTCCTGTGAATATTGGAATCTGGTTGCATCATATGCCACTATGTGGAGAAGGGAAAGGTTCATGGGTCAGGGGTTCAACGGGGATGAATCGGAGGTCAAAACCGTGATGACCTGACATATACATATATACAAACATACATGTATTTATATAATATATTTTACAACTTTTAATATACTTTAATATGGTCTATGCATGATAAGTTTCTTAATTTTTAAAGCATATAACTATAGTTCAACTCTTTTAATTTACATTTTCTTTAAAATATATGCATACTAAATTAATATATACAAT